TTATATAATTTAAATTTAGTTTAAATGTTATTCCTACCTTTTGTTAACATCTACTTCTTTCTCTCATACTGCTTTTTCCTCAAATCTTATGCCAAGCTTTACGCATATTACAGGGTATTTTTATTTGTTATAAGCTCATATATTTGTTATTGTATAAAGTTGAACTCTTCTCTCTTTCTCTTGCAGCTGCAGTTACTCGCCTCAATGTCTGACGAAGTGCCTTTGGGACGTTTATCGCAAATTTTTGATACTCTAACCAATTTACAACAACAACAACAGCAGCAACAACAACAGCAACAACAACAACAGCAACAACAACAACAGCAGCAACATCAGCTGCACCTGCAGCAGCAGCAGCAAGCAGCGGCAGCAGAGCAGCTGCGTCGACGCTCTGCCTCCTCGTCGCCCTCACCGTCGGCCAGTGCCTCGGCGTCCTCATCGGGCCGTGCCACGCCCGCCGCCGCGCTGGGCGTGGCYGCAACACAGACACTCTACTACACACACACGCACAACTACTTTCTGCGGCCGCAAGATGGCACCAGCTACCTGCACACATTCCCCGCCACCGCCGCAGCGCAGCATTCGTCGCACTTCTATCAGCAGCATCAACAGATGCAGCATCAACAGCAGCTGCAGCTGCAGCATCAGTTGCAGCAGCCGCCTTCGCTGCCCGGCCGACTGTCGGGCTCTGGCTCCGGCTCGGCATCCGGCTCCGGATCTGGCTCCGGCACGCAGTCGCTGCACGCTTCGCCGCTGCTGGCCAAGCGAGCCACCTCGTTTAGCGGCCAGATGCCGCTGACGCGTGCCGCCCAGTTGCATGAGGCACGCCTGGTGGCCGCCTCGACGCCCAACAGTCCGCGGCTGATGCCGCGACGCGCGCCTCGCCCGCCGCCCATACCGGCCAAGCCGGCCAAGGAGCTGAGCGGTGCGAGTGGTGCAGCTAATGCGCCGACGCATTCGCTGAATCCCGTGCTCGCCGCCCTGGACGCACCCGATGCGCCCTGGCCGCACTTCTCGTCCCTCACCGAGCACCTGGACGTGCATCAGCTGAACAACTATGGACAGGCATTGCCCGAAGTGGGTTGCTCTTGACGTTTAGTATTAAGGTGTCCGCTCTACAGCTCTCTCTTCTTTGGCTTTTGCAGATCAACTGGCAGGAGCGCTGCTTGGAGCTGCAACTGGAGCTGCATCGATCCAAGAATCAGGCGGGCCGCATTCGGGACATGCTGCGAGAGAAGGTAAGTCACAAAAGATTAACATTAAAAACTATGAACTGGTACTTCTAGTAAACTGGAACTAGTTCTGGTTCCGGCTCAGATTCCTCTTTGTTATTATGAGTCATGAATGCGTTGTGAAGCTCGAACTGAACTGGTACTTCTAGTAAATTGGAACTGGTTCCGGTTCCGGCTTAGAGTCTATAACATCGATTCCCATTTTTTGTTATTATGAGTCACTAATATATTGCGAAACTTGAGCTGAACTGGTACTTTTATAAAAGTGGAACTAGTTCTGTTTCCGTTTTAAATTTCAATTATCTCGTCTTATTATGTGTCATTCAGGTAACTGGATTCTCATATCTGTTGTAAAATGTTTCTTTGGTATGAACTGCTCAAATGATTTCGTACTAGTTCACTTTACAGTTAGTATGATAAGCTTATACATGTAGGGTTGTTGGATATATGCTTTGGGGACTGGTTGATTAGTGCAAATGAGTTATTAAGTGAGAAACAAGACTAAGAAGGGAAAAAAATAAGGAGCAAAGTGACGCACAGACACATTAATTACGCACACACACACACACACACACATATAGTCAGACAGTGTCTAATGTATATCTTGTGCTTAATGATGATTTATGGAGCCCATGGTTAAAACATTTTTATGACGACCCCTTACAATTATCAGGCCAAAAAGTAATCTACTTGCCAGGAATAAATACCGCGCCCCCCGCACACCTCTCCCCTCAAGCCAGCTGGCCCCACTTCACCTCCCTTCGTCTCAGCCGTCTGTGCCTTTAGCTAATTTGTGGCGGAAATAGTGCAGCTGTGTGTTGTCTCTGCTAGCATGTGAGTGTGTATGTGTGAGTGAGTATGTGTGTGTGTGTGTGAGTCCTTTTATGATTAGCCTAATTAAGTCATTAGGCATTTGGCCAAAATAACAGCAGCCGCAGCCGCAGCCGCAGCGCCAGTTCTCTGCGGCCCTCGCAGCAATATCCCACGGCATTGTCATTAGGTTTATTGGCAGCGCCATCTAGCGGCGCTTTAATGTAAAAACTATATGAATTATTAAAATGTAACACTAAAGTGMGTGCCTGCTGCTGCTGCTGCTGATGGGTGAGTGTCTGTATTTATGTGTGAGTGTGTGTGTGTGTGAGTGGGTATTACTTTCATCTCGGCACACATGGCGCTTGCTATATACACGATGTATGGTCATGAGTCATGACATAAATTAATTACACTTCAATGATTTTTGCTGCATGAATAATGCATGAGGCGAGCGGCAGTCAGCTCTCGCATACCCAGTCCCATTCCCATACCCATAGACGTTCTATAGCGATCTTCGTAACAGAGTTAATCACACAGATATAAGAGCAATATATATACATATATA